ACAGGGAAAACAAAACCAGGTGCCAGGAGGTAGACTGCACTGAGGAACAAGCAGAAAGGTCAGAGCCAGGGAGGAATCCTTGCCACCACGAAATGCCCCCGTCTTGTTCTGCGGCTGGCTTCCTGGGTGCACGTGAGCAAAACCCAAAAAGCAGGGCCTGTTGCGCCCTGGGACATGCACGCTCTTTATTTTATATCCCATGGGGACCCAAAAGCATCACATGTCATTCTCCTGCCCTCCACTTTTATCCAGACAACAAATCAGTGAGGTTGGTTAGGTTGAGAGCTTCCATGGGAGAGTGGAGATTCGAACCTGGGTCTCCCAGAGCCTAGTCCACCACACTAACCACTCAACCACACTGGCTCTCCATTAGGAGTAGATCCTTCAAAAAGGCAGCAATAACGCCCCCAAAGATGGCAATAGTGGGACTTGTGACCCGGCAAGTGGAGCTCTGCAACCTCGGAGTGTCCCAATCCGTGGCTGGAAGACCACTGCCCTACACCCCACCTGCGGGACTTTACTCTGGCTTCTTGCAGATCCTGCCTCTTCCAGGGTCTTTTGCCATGGCCTCCTGTGCTGAAACGCAGCCTAGCTGAAATGAACACATTCCCTTTCCTCTGTTTATCCCAGCCTCCATCTCTCCTTGTCTTCTTGTACTCTATAAACCAGCGGGCATGTTGAGTTTAAATAATAAGAATAGATGCAGGGTATGGAAGACACTCCCAAAGGAAGAAAATTTAATGGGGCTCGGTTAACACGGAGCTTCTCCACCACTCTTTGCTGAACTGACTCAGCGTTTGCTACTCTTACCGGCAGTGGCTTTCCAATGTGTACCCGCTTGTTCCCAAAGCGACAGATGTCTGTGTTACTGGCAAGATTCAGAACGCCTGGATCCAGTCCTTTGTGATGGGCTGCGTGCAGACTCAAAGCTTGCATTAGTCTCTCTCAGCTGCTGCTGCTGCTGCTCGTGGACTTTCCCAACGGTGGTTTTCAAACGTCCTGGTCCCCTAGAACCCCCTTCCATGTTAATGGGTCTGCTGCAAGGACCCCTCTGCAGGGCTCCGGAGGTGGCCTAGATCGGCCACGTGCCCCAGAATGTGTTATCGTGTTCTTGGGACTGCGAGCGGCAGCAGCTTAGTCATGGTAGCCCAGCTGCCTGTTAAGGAAGCTTCCCTCCCATTGTTCAGCATAAGCTGATAAACTTGTCTGAGGAACACCGAGAATGGCTCTAGCCTGAGCCCCAGGCAGGGCACAAGCAGCAGCTGGAACGCTGGGGGATAATAACTGGTATTCTCAAACTGCAGTGCCTGATAAGTGTTTGCGGTCAGTAGGGAGGAAGGAAAGCTTCCTACAAGGAT